TATAAAAATAATAATGATATAATAAAAGAAAAAGAGAGAGGAAGGAAGAAAAGGTAGAAAAGAGAAAGCATCCCCAAAAGGGGGCAAATAGTAAAAGAGGGGCTTTTACCATATGGAGGAGCTTCACATTTAACGGGGTGGGGGGCAGACAAAAGGGTTTCTTGCTACAAGTGTGGTTCCTCTGAAATAAATGCAGCTTTGCCAGTTTTCAACATCTGATGTTTGGATCGTGGTGTTTGAGAGAACACCTGAAATATTGTGAAATAAACTATCCTGGCGGGGTGCAATTAAATATGGCTCTGCACCTTGCTTCATATTGTTGTGAAAAAAAAATGCTACTATTGACATAACTGAGAGGTTTTCCAAAGATTGGCATGTACTACTGAATGCTTGCACTGCTTGTGTGGCTGTAGGTCACCAGGCATGCATTTAATATGGTAGCACTTGACCCCTACTTTGTGCTGGTATAGATGAAGGGCAGGGATTTCTTCAGGCGATATCTTTTTATTGAACCAAATATATATCTGCAATAAAGTTAGACAAGCTTTAATTTCTGGACCATCACAGCTACAGCATCGCTCATCATTGCACTACCAAGAAGGACAGGGTATCTATGGCTTAGAAGTCCATGTGTTTCTGGCCCAGTCAAAAACAAGAATTGAAAATCTAGGGCAAAAACAGTATCTGATGAGGTGGCTCCAGCCTTTCAGAAAATCAAGGAGGTTTAGATAAGTATTTCAGCTGATTCTCATCTTCTTACTGCATTGTTAATTCTTTAGGTTATGAAGTCAGCTGTATTCTGCAATGTATATTGTTTGTAAACTACTTTCTGCATTTCACATAGTGAAACTAAACTAGTCACTTTCACTTTTGGCTCTAATTAGTTTCCCTGTCCCTGGTGAAGTAGAATAGCATTGCTGACATTGAAATTCATGAGGCATCAGGAGAGTTTCAAATCAGATAAAATCTTTTAATTGAAAGAAGTGATAAATAGATGAAAAACACGCTTTTTAACCAACTCTTAAGACCTGCCTGCACTAATAAAATGACTAGCGGAGAGAATCTGTTGCAACATGGCTGTATGCTGGCATTGTTAAAACTTGGTTTCATCATACTCAAACATGGTTACACTTTCATAATGTTTGTAAAGGACTCTGAGGTTTTTAGGTAAAAGATGCTAAATGATTACAGTGATTTATTGTTATCGTATAAAACCTGAACTCTGCAAGTTTTGTCTTTTTACAGATGTTTTAAATGTAAGTTTGTTAGCTGTGCACAATTTTATATTCTTGTAAATAGTGTGCATCTTAACATTACATTACTAGAGTGATTGCACATCATGCAATATGTCAGATCCTTCCATGTTCCATGCATACAGGAATAAGAATAGGCATGTCTGAAAATGGAACTGTCACATAGAGAGACCAAAGAAAAAAAATCTATGTTATTGCTTGATTTAAAGGTCATCTTGTGTCCTGGTAACATCATAATCACAAGGTCCATTCCTACAAAATGCTCCTAGGCCCCTGATTGCTGCTGAGTGTCTGGAGCTCAGTGGGAGTTAAAATAAGCTTGCTACTTCTTCAGAGATTCTCATGCCCTCACAGAATTAGGCCTATGATTTTGGAGTTTCTTAAGACAAGTGATTGCTAGGTTGAAGAGACTCTCTGGGCTTTCAACCAGAGGCTACAATGTACTATTTAATTCTTGCTCTGCTCTAGAAAGCATGGCAGGCTTAGAGAGAGAGACTTTGGAAAGAGTATCCAAGTGGTAATACACTACTGGGCCCAGCCTTGTCTTGATGTACTTTTAGCATTTTATGGTTTCCATTTCTGCTTTTTCAGGGTTGATAATGGGTCCTTCTGAATAAATCACTGGACCACAGCTCAGGAGGCCTGGGTTCTGTTCCCAACCTCTGTTCCCACTGAGTGACCTTGGGCAACGCACTTAATGGCTCTGCACCTCAGTTGCCTTATATGTAAAATGAGAAAGTGCTATCTATGCATCTCTTTTGTAATATTCTGCAAGCTCTACAAATGAAAGTTGTTTTATAAAAGCTATGTATTTTATTATTATTCTACCTCTATTTTAATCTGCAATCAACTACATGAATATTTCAACCTCTGCTTTCAATATATATACAAGTTTCCCTCGACTTATGCTGTACACATGTTCCCAGAGAATGGCGCGTAATGCGAATTTGCATAAAGCGAACCCACTTTACAGTGCAACAAATAGGGATGGGTTCCCATAGCAGGGAGGGAGGGAGGGAGGCTGGGACTAGGGAAGGAGTGGGGGGAGGGGTGCTGCTCCTGGGACTGCGCAAGATAACAAAACAGAGGGAACAGAGCGGCACTCTCCCAAGCCCTGGCTGTAGTGGCCCTGGGAGTGGCCAGCGCCAGATGCCTACAGCTGCTGGACTGCGCCGTGCTCCGCCTGTCCCCACTAACCTCCGGTCCTGGGCTGCACCATGCCCTGGTGCAGGCAGCTGGTGTCGGCTGCTCCCGGGGCCACTGCAGCCAGGGCTGGGGTGAGTGGGGCCATGGCCCTTTCCCTTCCCTCTACAGGCTTACCTGGTTCGGTGGGGGGACAGCTATGCTGATCTCATAAGAGTGAATTTACCTCGGATATAACAAATTATGGATCTAAATATGCTCATCACATAAGAGCAAATTTGCACATAAAGAACCTGCATAAATCAAGGGATAAATAAAGAACCTGCATAAATCAAGCTGTTAACATGAGCCAGAATGACTTGCAGAATGAAGTGTTCAGAAAATAATTAAATAATTGTTTGATTTCTTCCAGAACACAAGCCGACTTTCCCAAACATTCTGAAGAAAGGATACCTAGATATTAGAAAGGATCATGACAGCTACTGGCAACCCTGTTATGCAGAGCTCTCTCCATATAAACTCTACCTGTATTGTCTTGACAGCAGTGGCAACCAGAATCTTCCTACAGTCTATCCACTTACACATTTCCAAAGTATCACTGTTACAGGCAACCTTGAAACAAAGATGGTTGACACCATTCTATCAGACAACTCCCAGTTGCAGTTGAAGGCACAGTCATCATGGGAGGCTTTGGACTGGGGGCAGAAACTTTGGGAAGTGGTACATTCCACTGTGCCAGCTTTCATGAGGCAGCAGGAAGAACTGGAAAACACCCAGAAACTGGACAACAATGATGAACTTGCCCAAATTAATGTTTTGCAAGAGAAGCCCACTGAATTTTTCCAGCCCACCAATTTCACTGAAAATAGTAAGGAGTACCAAAACATTATCAAATCAGGGACTCTTTATAGGTTGACTGTACAGAATAACTGGAAAGCATTTACTTTTGTTCTGAGCAGATCTTATCTCATGGCATTCCAGCCCGGTATACTAGATGAAGACCCTCTCCTGAGCTATAATATCGATGTGTGCCTGTCTGTCCAGACCGATACTCTGGATGACTGTGACTCTTGCTTTCAGGTCATTTTCCCTCAAGATGTCCTCCGTTTGCGAGCAGAAACACGCCAAAGAGCACAGGAGTGGATGGAGGCACTGAAATCTGCTGCCAATGCAGCCAGAAATTTAGGTCAAAACCTGCAAGTTACCCTTAGAAACAAATCGAGAGATTATCCCTTTGGAAAGGACCTTAGGAAGAGCAAGCGCCAGTCTGTGACCACCAGTTTTCTGAGCATCCTGACCACTTTGTCTTTGGAAAGAGGACTAACAGCCCAGAGTTTCAAGTGTGCAGGTAAGCAACCACACTGAAGTGGCATTGCAGTCCCATTCTCTATGCGAGGCAAAGATATAAACATAACTCATGAACATGTAAGACTGCGTAAACTTTTACACAATAAATGGGCACTTGTTTTCCAGTGCCTTAGCTGTAACATTAGTGGCTGCTAATGTATCAAATCGAGAAAACCAAATAGGTTTTGGCTTGGTTAGCAGTTGGTCATGGAAATAGAAATAGAAGGGGTTATAAGGAGTGGTGCTGGATACAGCCCTTCAGTTTCTGAGTCCAAATGCTTTTCAGTAAGAGAAGACCTTTAAGAGCATCTCCCATCACACAGCTTGTATCAAAATCCCTTTTTAAAAATAAACAAAACATGTAGATCAGGGGCAGGCAATTATTTTGGGTGGAGGGCCACTTACTGAGTTCAGACAAGCTGTCGAGGGCTGGGCGGGTAGTCCTGGCCCTTAACAGGCTCCCCACCCCCTAGTCGCTATCTTGCAATTGGAAGTCCCACCCCCTGACCTCTGACCTTTGTCACCAGAAGGCCCTCCCCTTGCCCCTGGAAATACTCCTTTCAGCAAGGGGTTTTGCCATCTCAGAACCAGGAAAATATCAAAAACCAGAATATCATATTCTAAAAATCGAACATCTACATTAATTTGATTTCAAAAAATATTTTTGTCCTAATTTACATGTGTTTGTGTACTGTACATAGAGGTGGTAGCACACTAGCTTAAAATGAAGTCTCACTCTTGTATATTGTGAGGTGGGGGGGATGAAGGGGTGGGTATAGGTTTGTGGGGGGCTGTTGGTGTGTGGATATGTGGGGTGTGGGTGGGTATGGAGTTTGTGGGGATGAAGGGTGACTGGGGTGTGGGTCTGGGGCCCTGCATGTATGGCAGTGCATGTGTGTGGTGGGGTGTGCATGTGGGACTCACCCTATGAACACACACACATACACTCTCCCTCCCTCCCTCACTGTGGGTGTACATGTGCACACACAGAGTCTCCTGCACTCTTCCTCCCTCATTGGGTGGGCGTGCGTGCGCTCTTTCTCCCTCATGGGGCGGGCGAGCATGCACAAATGCACACAGGCACACGCTCCTGCTCCTAGCCCTGGGGTACCAGCACGGGCCCAATGTTCTCATGGTCCAGCAATGCAATGTGCAGGGAAGCAGTGAAAGCGGCAGCAGGCAGAGGCTTCTGGTTGGGGTGGGGCCAGGCTGGCCTTGCTACTGTGTCCTGCTGGCTCCCCCTGGGTCCTACTGCCCCTGTCTCCTGTCATCTTTGACAGGCAGCCAGGAGCAGATAAATATACATTTTTCTAAATTTTTTAGGTGCCCCATGGGCTGGATAAAATGGCCTGGTGGGCCAGATTTTGTCCACCCGTAGTGTAGATCTTAAGCTCTTTGGGGCAGAGACTGTATGTGTGTGGCACAGTGAGGCCTGGTTTCTGATTGGGCCTCCAGGTGCTGTTGTAAGAGAAATAATATTTGTGGAGTTAAAGTAAGTATTCAGTGCCCCATTACAAAAAGCAAAGATATTATTTTAATGTCACAGCTCTTTGATGGGATCCCATCAAAGTCTCTGAATCTAAGCAGCTTGGGTTGGGCAATGTACCAGGCAGGAGATCTCAAGAGGAACGTGGGTTTTCCAGGAAGCAATGCTGGCAATGAAGTAGGCAGTGCTTTTTTTGTCTGAATCAGTGCAGAATCACTTCCCTGGCATGTGAGAATGGCGATGTCATCTCTTTGGTATAAATCTCTATTCTTTCACTCATTGTGGGGATTTAAAAATCTTACAGCATATTTAGGACTAGAGAGTCAGTCTAATGTGCTGATCTAGTTCCAAGTGTCGTGATTTCATTCCGCTGAATACAGAAATATTCTTCCCTTCCAGTTCCGTTTTGTGCTAATATGTAACTCTGTGCTGTGAGGTGGTGGCTGCTCCTCATTGATGGTTCAGATGATTCACAGTGGGAGAGCATGTCTAATGGTTAGAGCACAAGAATGGAAGGCTGACATTTGTGCCTGAATGTCCTGTGTCTGCCAGAGATGTACTGTGCTCCTTGAAGTAATTCACAGACACTTGCTAATAAGCCTAAGCTTTCAAAGTAACTAGTGATTTTTGAGGCCTTCCATTTTTAGGTGCCCAGCTTGAGATGCTAGAGAGGGAGTTTGATTAGAGTGGGAGTGCTCAGTGTTCTGTTAAAATCAGCTAACTTGTGTTAAACTGAGCACTCAAAATCACTAGTCACTTTTAAAAGTGGAGGCTTATTAGTCTGTCTGATCATTTTTTCTCATCTGTAAAATAGGGAAATAAACCGACCAAACACAGAAGGATCATGGGGATCATCTGCTGATGTTTGCAAAGCAATTTTGAAATTCTAGCATCATGGGCACTGCAAGAGTATGATGATGAGCAGGATAGTGTGCTTACGTACAATCGAATGACTCGGATGTAGTTTACATTACTGGTAGTGGAGCTTGGTTAACCTCAAGCCATGCAGGATTGTATCTTATCCACTGCTGTCAAACTTGCAAACCATGACATATTTGCTGTGTTGTTTTTTTACAGTGTATTTTTTCCTGAGTCCTCATCCACAAATGTATTCCCTGCCTGGAGTTTTGATTTCCTTATCGAGACCAAATTGTTCTATTTTTTTTTTTAATTAAAATTTTAATTAATTTAAAAATGACTATTATGCAGGGACAAGGTACAATTGTTGGGGAAAAGAATAGAAATAGAAAGTAGCTGTCTGAAACTGTGTTGCCCTGCTTGGTTTCAGTGCAAATTTCCAAATCACTGAATTTGGATCCTCTTCTAGCTTAAAAGAGTAAACTCTGCATCTATGAAATGGATCTGGTACTAGTTTGGTTTCTCAGTAGGATTTTCTTTTTTGGTTCAAAACACTGTCAGTTTGGCTATTCCCAGCTGCTTTCAAAACCCCAGTCTTATTTTAGTAGGGCACCCATACTTTTCCCATCTTGCATGGGCAAGAAGGATTAGCTAGTGTAGTGGTTCTCAGACTCTTTTTTTTTTTTTTTTTTCAGATTTAAGGTACTCCTTGGAAAATGCAGGCTCCTACCTTTCTCTCATATTTTAACTGCAGAGAAATAACAGAGTAATTCTTCTGTTGCAGAGAACGCAGAAAGACCCCAACAAGTCAGAATGTTTTTAACACGGTGGATTCCTATTTGAAATCTCTGGATTGATCTTGTAAATTGTGTAGGTTTCTGCATGTCTGACAGTGATAATACTTTGGAGCACCCTTAAAAGGATCTCTCGGCACCCTACGGTGTCACAGGACCCTCGTTGAGAATCACTGATCTAGCGGTTAGGTCACTGACACTTGGCTTACAGGACTGGGTGCAGTTCCCAGTTCAGCTACGGGTTCCCTCTGTAACCTTGAGCAAGTCACTTGCAGCTACATTTTCAAAATCTCCTTGGTGCCAAATTCACACTGAAATTAGGGTACCTTGGCATTTTGGAAATATTCCTATGTGCCTACAGATATTTCTGTCACCTGGATGGTCAAAAAAGAATACCACACAGGTTGTGAGCTGCTCAGATACTATGAGGATAGAACCCATAAAGATGCCTGTAGTAGAGCTCTTGGATTTGCCCATTTTCATTATTCTCTTCTTCATTTTTTTCTTAAAATTCAGCAAAGAAAGATTTTGGTCTCTTAGGGACTGTCTACCTTACCTCTGGACTGTGCTAGGAAGGGCCTTGGGAAAGCACTGTCACCTGTCACATGCATGCTAAACCCAGAAGTGGATGCCTTGTAGCTGTATAGAGTTGCACTGGGTACACGCTAATAAAGCTGTCTGTGTTGTGATTGTTGGGTCAGCACTGCTGTGACAGCCATATAGCATCCATGCCTGGGTTTAGTGTACTTTCTCGTGCTTTGCTATGGCCCTTTTTAGCATAGTCGGAGGGTGCAGTAGATGCCCTTGTTTCCGTCATTTGATTGTTGACCTGCTCACAGTAGTTAATGGGACTGCTACCAGCATCCTCAGCTGGAGCAGGAAAAGGAGCAGGCCCTGGAGGAGTAGCGAGAAACCTGCTTTTAGTCTGAAAGACACTTTAGGTATTCTGGGGGAATTCTCTGAAACATGCTACATTTCATCCTGAATTGTTCACATATTCTCCATAGCAGTGAGGCATGCTGCGGCTTATTTATTTGCTTTTTCAGATTCAGTGAAAGAATATTTTTGTTTTTAAGGTAGAATTTTCTTTTTTAAAAACAAGATCTATAGTTTCCCTGTTTCTCTGACTTTTACATGTTAGATATTTGCTATGCTCCTGTGGCCTGTTTGGGTTTAATTTTTTTTTCAGTGATGCTGAGCAACCACAGCTCAGGATTGAGCCTCCTCAGCAGGAATGATGGATGCTCAACATGTCTGTGAATTGGGCACTGGGTTTAATTTTAACTATATTTTCAACATCATAACACTCAACCCTTACTCTAAAAGCAGCTGATATGTACATAGGACTATCTTCTCAGTGTGCTGTGCGCCTTTTGCAATGGGGTTCCAAGTGTCAATTGGCACCTATAGCTGCTACCACAATACAGATCATAAAAAATAATAACAACTGGGGAAATGCTGTCCTGTTGGGTTGAGAAAAAGTTCATGCTGAGGAGGCTTTGGAAAATAAAGAGTGAGGCTTGAAGATCTCCATGCATCGTGATCACTATAGGCGGCTTCTGCTGTTTTACTTCATAGGCTGCTGTTTAACCTAACAGGACTGCTGTTGGTAATTACATCTTGCAGGCATTAAGAGCTTTTTTTTTTTCCGGCTGCTGGGAGGGGTAAGCTTGGAAAGGAAAAAAAAAAGTTTTGCTGTGAATTCTTCAGCCATTTAGTGCAAATTCCTGTAATTACCGTCATTGTGTCCTGTCTGAATGGCACATAATACAGCAGAAGCCTTTCCTAATTGAGACCTTACAGGAGGTACAAATCCCTTCTTTGTTCAGCCTGACAAATTAGTGCCAGAAAGTGGCAGGGTCC